TATATATATATATATATATGTATATATACGTGTATACGTATATATTTATTTATTTATTTACTTTTTTTTGTTGTTTTTCTATTACGAGTTGGGGTGAAAATTTGAAAGACAGTTTGATAAGTTTGTCAATAAAGAGAGAGAGAATCAATAATAAGAATTCGACGGAAGAATTTGGATAAATAATAAAACCGCTCGGGGATACAGCGCATACGAAAGGAATCCGACGTCGATACGTCTTGAGATTCTGGAAGGAAGAAGATACACGTGAGAGGGTCGTTGAGTGGAGGTACGAAGAGGGGTATGTCCTCTCCGTGTTTCCGCGTCTACGCGTCCGCGAATAAGTATCTGAGAAATAAAGAACCAGCGTTGCGTTACCGATAGTTTTCCATCTCTGGATTGGAGTGGTGCTCGTCCGCTGGTCGTAGAGTAGTCGTCAAAGAACTACGGGACCTTTTGCGCGGTGGCGGAGCGAGTCCACCGTCGTCCGACTCGCCGCTCGAGGCCAGGCTTATGCGCGTACCGCCCCGTTTTTCACACGATTATTGTCCCTCTCGAGTTCGTTGGTGGGGCTGTGGCTGGGGCTGAAGCACGCACGCAGCCACGATTACGTTGCACGGGAAAGTTCTTCTTCTTCTTCTTCTTCTTCTCGCCTCTCCCCTTATATATTTATTTCCTCCTACTCTGCCTAATGGAAATCAACACGCTGCAGTTAACTTTCAATCTTTGTCCCTACGAAACGTTTACGTTCCTCGAATAAAGCAACAAAAATTTACGATAGAGAAAAAAAGGCAGGATTTTTGTACGCCTGCCAATACGGATGATACGAACAATGACTGCTACACAGCTGATACTTGTTTAGATCGTCGTTTACGTCACACTATGGCCTTCTTCGCAGATACCCCAACGAGTTATCCTGCCCCCTGCCGTTCGTTCATACAAATTATTATTCTCTGAAATTGACACGGCTCCCTCTCTGGATTTTATCCTACCTATCATAGAGGATGTCGCCACTGGTTCAAATTTCCCAAATGTTATAAACCGATCTAACAAAGTAGGTTTGTTTTCCCCGACGACTTAACCGCGCTTTATTCATTTATTATACGTTCTTGTCGGCGTCATATCATTTTGAACGAATTGTCAATTAATTGGAGCATTAAGCTACCCGAGTATGCTTCTATTGTTAAATTTATCAACAAGTATTAAAGTTTTTTTTCTTTTTTAGAAACAATTACGAATTTTACGTTATTACATTATAAACATACATATTTGTGATCAGCTTTCCAAAGTACGCAGAATTTTGTATTCACTATGTTTATTACTATGAAAATAAATGAGATAAAATGTAAGGAAAGATTGACTATAGAAGACAATTCGCGGTTTAAATTCAAAATATTATTAATCCACGATCGAATACTCGAGAAGTGCATATTCGGCTTTCTTCGGTCTTTCTAGCTCCAATATGATATCGGTTTTTTTTTAATCTAGTAAATCTTTATCTCTCTGTACCTGTTTTAAGACAATCGTTCTTAACGAGTAAATTCCTTTAATTATTAAATAAAACAAAATACACATATTAGATTTTTAATTGTTGTTTGTTTTTAAATGTATATAGAATTAAATTACACATTCAATTTGTCTACACTATTTGCTATTAGAAGTTACTAGGAAATAAGAAAGTTTAGAATATATTTAAATCTAGTAACATTTTTTAGCCTCATATCGGTAATAGTAGTGCCCCACTCTTACCCTACCGACTGAGGATTGATGGTAGCGTACCATCACAATTACAAAAGTAAAAAAACTGTAAAAATAAAACAAGCAATTATTGTTTTTACATGATCAACTTGTTTGCATTTACATGCATTTATTCTTTTCTTTATGCAGTAAAATTTTATTTATTGTTAATACTCTGTTTACCGACCGAGTATTATCAGCCTGTTTTACCAATTGAGTATTTTTGATCTGTTTTACCGACGGAGTAATTATAATCTGTTTTACCATCAGAGGTACAAAAATAAAAAAACTGCGAAAATAAAACAAGTAATTGCTGATATTTAATGATTAATGAGTTTTTATTTACCTGCAGTTATTCTTTTCTTTCAGCGGTGAAATTTTTTTCTGTCTTATCGACTGAGATCAACTGTTTTACCATCAGAGGTACAAAAATAATAAACTGTGAAAATAAAACATGCAATTATTGATTTTTAATTACAATTAGTTTGCAATTATCTGTAATTTCGTCTTTCATTTTGCGGTGAAAATTTTTTACTTTTGGTACTTTTGATGTTAAGTTACCATCAGATCTCGGTCGGTAACGTAAAAGTAGAGCACTACTACTACCGTTATGAGGCTATATAATGTTACTGGATTTTAATATATTTTAAACTTTCTTATTTCCTAGTAACTTTTAATAGCAAGTAGTGTACACAAAGTGAATTTGTAATTTAATTCATTATACAATTAAAAACAAACTACAATTATAAATCTAATATAGGTATTTTGTTTTATTCATTAATTAAAGGAATTTACTCGTTAAGAACGATTGTCTTGGAAAAGTTACACAACACACATAGAAAAAAGACTTACTAGATTAAAAAAAAACCGATATCATATTGGAGTTAGAAAGATCGGGGAAAAACGGACAAACAAAAAGTGAACAATTGATTGAAAACAAAAAACAATAAAAAACTTTATTTTTAGCTTTGTTAGGAATAGGTTTAGGCTTTGTTTAGAAATGAGAAAAAACGTTTTCAATTTTTCAATTATTCATTACTAATTAAATAATTAATTAATAAATTGTGCTATTATATGGATTTTGATTAAACAATTAGTGACGAATTAAATCAGTGAGCCTAAATCATGGTGCATTTGCTCTGTACCTTAGAGGTAATGCAAAAATCGGAGTTTGCTTAAAGAATAAACTAGATGTTAATGCCTTTGTATTCTTAGATATAATCGAAAAGAAAAATATAGCAGCTTTAATGCCAAAATAAAAAATGAAGAGAAATGGAAAGATTTGAACGTGTAATACGACGTTCAAGACATATTCGATTACTCGAATACATCAACAAAAATCATCAGAACAAAAAGGTTAAGAGACAAAATATATAGTCAGGATAAAGTTAGATACACAGGCAAAGTTAAAGATTCTGTAGTTATAAATACTTGTATTTTTAGGCCCTTCCCTAAAATTCGCGGTTTAAATTCAAAATATCAATCGGCAGAGTTCGGTTAGTCGAGCGGTGCGCATTCGGTTTTCTTCGGAGAATCGACTCGCGCAACATACACCGGCAACCGGCAGTTGCTCGCCGGCCTCCGTGGTGCATACATTTATATTATTGTTTGTTGCTTTTAATATTCGTGTATCATTATTTTTCTCTTATTTCTATTAATCCTTTTGCTATTTCTATTCCTCCATCCCTCTCTTCCTTTTTTCTTACGTTCACGTTCTCTTCCCACCTTTTTTTTTTTTTTAATTAGAATTTGTTTCTTCTTATTAAACGTGGTTTTTTTTTTTTTTAACACGGATAATAAACGCGTTGCGGCTCATAACCACGAGCAAATTTCATCGCGAAGAGAAGAGAAGAGGAGAGAAGAAAAGAGAAGAAAAGAGAAGAGAAGAGAGTAAAAAGGCGGCCGATCCGCCTACGCCGTGAACGTTGTCTCTTTTTTTTCACAGACAGACAGACAGACAAACAGAGAAAGAGAAATATATATAGAAATATATATAGAAGAAGAATATATATATATATATATATATATATATAGAAAAAGAAAAGAACGAAGTATATTGGATAACATAATACCTGTGCCCATTAATGCGAACGTCGTTCTCGCGTAGCACATTTTTCGTGCATCACGTATGTATCAGTATTTCTATACGCGTATAAATACGTAGGTAGAGACACGCGTGAACGCTCACACAGTATTATCAAAGTGACGAATAATCAAAGAAGAAATTATTTCGTTTTGATTAATGATTGTTACTTTCAAATATTATTTTCCCGTGGATAAACAGTAATAAACAGTTTTATTGTGTATTGTGATATGTGTTAGATCTAATAATTTAGTTGAAATATTCATTTTTCGGGAGTGTTTATCTCCCGACAACGACGACCACCTGTCGCGCGAGCAACGCACGCGTCGCTCAGTGTCACATTTGGATTAATAGGATTACGCGGGAACCTGCTAAGGGACATGTTATTATCCAGGAGATAGATCCTCGCAATATAACAAGGTATGCATGTACTATGTTATTCAAAAGAATTATATTATTCATTGGTCGATTAAACGATATCAATTTTTGATTGAATTCAAATTTTACGAGGATATTCATTTGATCGAACAATTTCCAATTGGTTTTATTATTTTTATAAGCTATTAATATTTATCTCATATCCTTTACGATATTTTTCTTTCTTTCTTTCTTTCTTTCTTTTTTTCGCAATAATAATACTTCGTTAAACTTTGTTGAATATATTTTTCAATATTTCTTTTAATCAAAAAAAAGGTAATAATCAATATGATCCTTATCTTTCAATGATCCAGCGAAACGTTGAAATATAAAAATAAGGAATTTATGGAATTTTAAGGAATGGAAGAAGTTTGGTAAGAAAAAGTATTATTGCGTGTAATATTTCAAATTCGCAGCGCATCAATATGTATATCGATATATTTTATATAGATTTAAATTAGAAATGCACGTATAAAAATCGTTTGACAGATGGAATTTTTTTTTTTTTTCGTCTAAAGATATTCTCAACGTGGAGACGTTAAACATTCGAGATCTTTAATTTACGATCTAAGATATTTTACGGTATATATATATATATGTGTGTGTACATATATAGATATTTCAAAAAGCTTATAAATCTTGAATAAGGAATGTGTGAGCGTTTCTTCTGTAGTATTATATTATATATACACGTTCGTAAATAATAAAATAACCACGCTACCATGAATGGGCACTGCTTTGCCTTTCGAAAGGCGCGCCGCGTATTGAAGAATTTCTTTCTTTCTTTCTTTCTTTCTTATTTCTTTCTTTCTTTCTTTCTTTCTTTATTTCTTTAGTGTGTACGCACGCGTACTGTGCGTAGGAGCGGACGGCAGAGAGAGAGAGGGTTTTTTCTACATCGTGCAGCAGAATCGAATGAGCCGTGTTAGTAGAAAACAGCTAGGAGAGAAAGAGAGTGAGAGAGGGTGTAAGAGAGAGAGAGAGAGAGGAAAGGAAGGAGGTGGGCGCATACCAGTGCATACCAAAGTGAATGCGCAAGCGCATGCGCAAACCATTTTCCCCCACCAACTCGTTTGCAATCTCCCGCGCGATTTGCCCGCGTCTTTCGCAGCGCGCATTCGCTCCTCTCTTCGAATCACATTGACTCTAGTTCTTTTCATTCTATTCATAAAATCATCTCTTCTCTTCTCTTCTCTTCTCTTCTCGTCTCTTATTTTATTTTATTTTATTTTTATTTATTTGTTCATTTAAAACTTGTTGCAAACGTCTAGAAGATGTTTCTTACATGAGAAAAAGAGATGATTATTTTTGCACGAGATAGATAGGATTATACGCATTTAGAGTTGAAATTACCCTCGTACGTGTTATTTTGTTCCCTTCTTCTTTTCCTTTTTCCATTTTTGTTCTTTTTCTTTTTCTTTTTCTTTCCTCGTTCCTCTTATTTCACGCAGTTGCATCCCTCGTGCATGTTCACGCTCGCTTTCTTGTATTTCGCATACCTGCTTCTAAGCTTTCACGAATGGCTCTCGTGTTTGCTCCGTGTAAATATGATCGGTTCTTGTTCAAAATGTTCTTCGGTCTCTTCGTATAGTAGTAGACCTTTACGCGTTGTACCGGTACAAATAATCCATTTTTGGATACACCGTATAACAAAAAAAAAAAAGAAGAAGAAGAAGAAGAAGAAATACCAAGAATTAAGAAAAAAAAAAAAAAAGAAAAGAAATACTAAGGATAAGTCTACGAGGAATTTAACTGACATAAGAATTTTTTCAATCTTAAATCGAAATATTCGAAATCGTTTCTTGGAAAAAAAAAAAAAAAAGTATCGATTGGGTGCGTACCATTCAACTTTTTTTCTTTTTACAAAGCTGTCCTTATGTTACCTGGAAAGATGATTATCCGGTCGTAGAAAGACATGGCAGGTGAATCGAAATATATTATTTGGAGAGGATGCTTAGAAGAAGGATGATAATTATAATTCTTGGGTCGAAGTTGGCCCGAATTGAAAATAAGAATTTCGAGGGTTAATTCGAAAAGACAATGGGTGCCATTTTTCTACCCTATGTATTTTCTCTTTTTTTATTTCTTTTATTCGTGTATTCGTAGTATATCCATAAAATCCATAAAACGAAACTTCGATAGGTCGAACACACAGCATTATCATTTTTAACATTTCATCGTAAAAAAGTTCGTTCACGGTTCGTTCTTATTCTTTAACTTAGAGTCAACTTTTAAGATACATATATACCGTAGAAAGCAATTTATGGAAAAAGGGTTTGCGGTCTTCCGACCTTCATATTTACGTTGCACAGTACAGCTGGACTTTAACCGCACGAAAGCGGTTCTTCTTGCTTTAGCCCTGAAATCACGCTTCCCGATTTAACGTTTTGTATGTACTATCTAAGAGATTTGTATTCTATGATTTCAATTTTTTTTATTTGATTTTATATATATATATATTTGTTTTTTTATTATATCGAGAAAAATTGTATATTCAAGTTAAATTATATTCAATAATTTTATATTCGTTCCGTATTACAAGGAAAATAAAACAATAGGATTGAAAACATTCGAGGTATCGAAGATCGTTCAAATTTATCACACAACCGTGTTATTTATACTCTATTCGAATCCGAATTATAGAAAAACCTCGTCCCAATTTTCTTTTATCTTATTATATCGAAACCATATTCTTCTATCAAGAGCTGAATCTATACTATTATAGAAATGAATAGAACACATTTTCTCTCTTTTTTTTTTTCTCAATAAAAAAACGAATGAAAAGATAGGAATTTGGGCATTGCAATCTCATCTACGATCGATCGGACAGAATACTAGCTGAATTACGTTTTCTTTCGTTGCACTTCTCTTTCTCTCTCTCTCTCTCTCTCTCTCTCTCTCTCTCTCTCTCTTTCTCTTTGGCAAAGAAGAAGAAGAAGAAGAAGAAGAGAGTAAAGAAACTCGCTGGCAAAGTCCTGAGGATCGTGGCCCGTGAACGGGTGTGAACGCTCGTACGTGCCAGAAACGAATAATGAAGCCGTGCTACGATCCACGATAAAACCCGATGCCCCGACGTTGGAACGCCACTCACGTATAAATCTTTTACCTTGTACCCGATTTGCGAGCGCCGTACCACACTACCACCCCCCAGACTCCCCCCC